AAAAAAATCTATGCGTGCAGAGCGCCGGCCGTGCGCGCCCGGGCGCTTGAAAATTGCGGGAACATCGGGCATATCTACAAGTATTTTTATGAAAAATATAACGGCTGGTACCTGGGAAATGTTAGTTGGTTATCTTTTGCGCCCTGATTTGCGGGCGTTTTTTTCTTCTTGTTTTGCTGGATAGAAACGCTCACCGTGGGCCTACAAAACCGAAGGCGACCTTTGCATACTTCCGGGTTCAAAATCTCGCCGAAGACGGCATAAATTTGCTTAGTAATATATATATTCTTTCGATTATGCATTTCTTCACTAGAGTATCGATGTGTAGTCGTGGAAAATAACATTTTAGCGCTTATTTCCAAACAAAGAAAATTGTTTACACGTGCGTCAGATCGATCGTCAGCTTTACCGCCGGCAGTCTCGCGCGGTGCACGAAACAAATTTTTGTGCCGCGTTTTAGGAGATAAATGCCGGAACACGAACTTTTATTATTTTAAATATACACTTTACAAATTTTTCTTTGAAAAATAGCCAAGGAGAAATCGCGAATCTAAAAATACCGCGGATTGTCCATTTTCCAGAAACCGCGAACTTTAGGCCCCGCGAATCTAAAGAGACTTACAGTATGATAAAGTTCTTCATCTTTCCAGTGCAAAATGTTTATGTTTCCATATTAGAATATGTTGAGAGTAGATGTTCCTTTCTTGATAAAGCACCTCAGCTGCCAGGAGCCCCTGATGATGTGAGAGTTGTTGATGTTGGACAAACAACCATCCACGTGCAGTGGCAGAGACCTCGGGTAGGGGGCGATGTTACCGGATACAGGATATACTATCAGGTGAGATGTCACAATGGCCTAGAGATGAATTGAACAAAATGATGCATATGTCTAAAATGCTAGCCTTCAGACTAAACACCACAGACGTTTGTATGTATGGAGATGTCAAAAGGGATAGATGACAGTGTGTTGGTTTCAGATGTAAGGACAGGTCTAAGATGTTGCGTTGTTGTCTGATGATGTGTCAGTGTACATGTACCTGTTCAGTAGGTTGTTAGGCTGAGAAACAGAACATCCTGGAGGGACATGGCTACAGCCGCCATGCATCTACTCTGATGCCTGCGGCTTGATTGATTAGGCTGAGGTCACATTTCCAAACCGGGGCCCGGCCGGGCAGTAATATGGAACGAAAAGTATGATATGAAAGAAAACAAAGCACAAAAAGTTGAAAAAATTGATGATGGGAACTACTTGCATATATCATTGATATGAATTGTTGATTTTCCGGGCCCCGGTTTGGAATTGTGATCTCAGCATAAGTTGGGAAAAACGCCACTGCAATTTTCCTAATCCAATCCTAACAAAGGCTGTTTGTAACTTGTACAAGATGTTTATAATTCTCAACATACTTTTAGAAATCCTGACATGACATTAAGACATACTGACCCTTACTGCATCTGTCTCCAGCCTGAGAATCAAGTGTCTGCTTCAGCAGAAGTGGTGAACCCCTCCACTCTCAGCTACATCATCCCAGGACTGCAGCCTGACATGGAGTACACCGTCTGGGTGGTGGCTCTGTCCAGCATGGGGATGGGTCTCAGAAGCCCACTGGTTACCGTACGCACGGAACCTATCTATGGTAATAACTATGTACAACACTATCATTCAACATTACATGTTAGGGGCTGAGGCCTCACCAAAATATGCTGTACTCAATTACATTTTGTAGTAGTGAAGGTTACTATCTGTCCAGCCTTCCTTGCGTCCTGCATTCTTCTTCTTTTTTACCTGGTGGCACATGTCTTCATTGTTACTTCAGTTAGTATTTTAACCATGTATGTATGTATGTATGTATGTATGTATGTATGTATGTATGTATGTATATACATATGTATAATACATATATATAAGGTTATATTTATTATTTTATACTAGATGAAGGCCCAGACACTAGTCTTGGGAGTTATCTTTTAACGAGTCTGTTTGAGAACTGAGCTGCATTGTTCCAGGTGAGAATGACGATACCCCCGAGGTACCTGGGATGCCGGAGGACGTCACAGCCTACGCCACGAGTGCAGTGTCCATCAGGGTGGAGTGGCAGACCCCAGCTCAGGAGGACAGGGTCAGTGGCTACAGGATCCGCTATCAGGTAGGATTATCACCTCAGGACTTTACAGGTCTTCAACACCTATTTCATTCTTTGGTTCTTGGATTCGCCCACTTCATTTTTTCCTGATTTGTAAAGAATAGGTTGTAAGGTTCATTGTTTGAATTATAAACCAGCTTGGTGTGTTGACTTCATGGCTCCTATCATGGCGTTAGGGGCTATCAGAAGATGCCTAGGTCTGTTTTTTTTCACCCTGTCACTTCATATTTTGTTCTAAAAGAATCAAATGGTGTCTTTGTACAAAGTTGTATCTAAAGGTACATCAATGAAGGATAGATATCCAGGTAGAATGTTATTTGATATAAAATGAATCAAGCAACTGAATGAATTCGGATTCTCATTTACATGTATGTACAGGTTACATTTGTCTTCAGACTCATTTTCAGTAAATATAGCAGATCTGAACTTGAAAGAATTTATGCTGTTGCTTGTTTGGTTTTTATTTTTGTTGTATCTAAAGGGTTTTCAACAACCTAAGGCACAGCTTACCAAGACTGATACATTAACACTGTAATGTTCCATCTGTGCTCCATGTAGTACAGATGAAATCTCAAAGCCTTCCAGTATACATGAACCTGTGCACTATATAATTTTACATGTACTTGTATGTAATATTTTACATGTACTTGTATGTACTAGACTTAGTCCATGTTTTGAGAATTCAAAGATTGCATATTAGAGACTGAGAGCTGACAAAGAATAGTGATTAGTACATGCATATGTAACTGTTATGTACTTGTAATGTAACTTATAATGATGATATAATTTGGTAGAAATGGAAATTTCGGTAGCTTTTGGGGTTTGTGCACAATACATACAGGTTGATTGTGACTTGGGCCTTTCTAACACAAAGAACTTTAGTTGTATTAGCTTACTGAGATGAGGTACGATTGCCTCCCTTAACCTTACATCTAATCTCTGCAGGCGGAAGGAGACCCGGCTATTTCCACTATAGAAGTGGACCGAGAAGAACGTTCCTATGACATCATGGGCCTGACTCCTGAGACTGACTACACTGTGTGGGTGGTGGCCTTCTCTCTGGATGGGATGGGACTTCGTAGTCCTAAGGTCCATGCACGGACTCCAGAGGATGGTAAGATTTAAAAACAAGCTTTAGTTCGTTCCGAACAGCTTCCTATAGTTATGGCCATCATTGGAAGAAACACAAATGATGGAAGAAACAGAAAAACATTGCAGCACCATCATACCTACATTGTACGTCACAAATGAAATATCTGCAAAGAACTGATAGGTACATGTTCAAATTAGGATTTGTTAATTTAAAAGCAATGCAACTGTGATACCAGCATGAGCAGAGAAAAATGTGTTTTAAAAGATTTATTTAATGATATTTATTTATTCCTGTAAGAAACAAGTGGGTTGTCCCATCAGCCATTGGTTCCCATGAGAGCCTAACATAATACAAATGGTGAATAACAATATAATAACATAAATCAGTATCTTTGTTGACATACTTGGAAGGGAGTGAGCATTACAAATTAGGTTTAGAAGAAACTTGATTCTAGTTCTAATGAATAGACAGGTGACCAGCATCCAAATTTATTAATGTACTTCTAAGTACAAAACAATATTTACAACTTAGAAAATAATTTATCATAGATGTTTATTCATCCTTAAAATGATTCTTACAGCTGCAGGAACTAATGTAGAATTTTTGATATGTTTTTAAGTGAAAAAAAAACAAAAACAATTGCTACATGAGGTACTACTGACAGTTTAAGTTCCAGCATAGGATCTTCGGTCCTAGACTCTGTTACAGGAAATATACAGGAAATATAATGTCAAAAATTTCCTTTTTGATAAATGAGAAGTTTTTAAGGGCTTTGTTTATTAATCCAGACCTACAATATGGGTGGTAGCAAAGATCAATCATTTTATATGTACAACACATTGTTGCTGTATCACAATACTCTAATGTGCTTCTCAGTGTTTGTAATATGTACATTTTCTACATTGTGTAATTTGTCCAATGATCCTGTTGCATCAATACACATCGATACACTAACATTACAAAATACATTTCTGACTTACTAATGCATGCCAACAAGAAGTAACAAGTTTTCAAACATCCATCCAAACAAAGTTCCTGTTTCCTTGTCCTGGTCTCCTAGGTCCCTGCGATTGTGATTACGTCCTAGATGTTGATGCTGATAAGATAAAGGAACTGTATGCAGACAATGAGGACACAGAGGAGGAAGCCAGTACTGTACAGCCTGGCAGTCAGGCCTCGCCAGGGGCTGACTCGGACACAGGTGACAACCTGGCACCCTTGGGCGGTGGCGGGACCAAACAGATTGTTGTAGTTCCTGTAGTTGATGCTTTCCTTAATGGTGATAATGGTACATCTGCCGGGGTGGTTGGTGGTGGTTCTGGTACCAGTGTGACAGTTGGTGATGTCAACATAGACAGTCTGAGGGCAGGAGCAGATGGGAACAATGTGAACTCAACTGATGGAAAAAATGGCACTGGTAGCAGTGTAGCAACTGAAGAACCCGCAGTAGTTGATGCTTCCATTGATGGTGATAACGGTGTTGTGCCGTCAGCAGTTGCAGGTGGTGGAACCAATATCCCAGGTGGAAGCAGCACTAGCAGCAGTAGTAGTAGTAGTAGCACAGGGAAACTTTTTAATGGAGCAGATGGGAACAGTGTGGAATTGCAAGATGGACAAAATGATGCTGGCAAGAATGCTTCAAAAAGCAGTACTAGTACTGCAGGCCATGGGGCCCACAGTGGGAACAGTGGTGCTGATGCAGCTGGTCTTGATACTTCTGGGACCAGCCAAGCAGGAATCAACCACAGCTTTTCTAATGGCGTAAATAGCAGCAATGGTGGACCCATAGCTGGAGCTGATGGAGATCATGGTGGATCTATGGCTGGAGCTGATGGAGATCATGGTGGATCTATGGCTGGAGCTGATGGAGATCATGGTGGATCTATGGCTGGAGCTGATGGAGATCATGGTGGATCTATGGCTGGAGCTGATGGAGATAACACTGGCCATGAGGATGAAATAAATGGTGCAGATGGAGGAGTGAATGGGAATGGTCATGTGGAGAGCAGTACAGATGCCAGCAGTGTAAGCCCTGGTGGCCAGGCTAGTGCTGAGGGAGACACCAGCAGTTCAGGAGGACATAATAATGTCCTGCCATCCATTGATGGATCACATGCTGACAATGCACAGGATGAAAGCATCATGCTGAATGGACAAGATGGGGGGTTGATAAGTGAAAACTCTGCAGCTGGCAAGGATGCAGCTTGGTCACCAGAGTTAGGATTAACCAGTCACAATACCAGTGGCAGTGCCAATACTGGACAGGCAAGTGGAAGTGACGCCTCTACTACTGGAGCAGATGCCAACAGCTTAGATGCATCATGGTTCACAAGTGAAGGGAGTGAGGGCCAGCAGGGAGGGACAGTGTCAGCTGGATTACCATCTATTGTGGACAGCTTGGACAGAAACCCCAGTGATCACAATGTGTCCACAGCAGGGAAGGTGGACAGTGGAGAGCCAAGCCAGGTGGGTATTTCTGCCACTGGGAACTCTAAAGCTGACAAACAGCCAACTAGACATGGAAACAGAGGTGATATTTCCATTAATGAGTACTATGGAAGTGCCCCCTCTGACAACTCAATTGTTCCAAGTTCACCTGATGAAAGCAAGGGTCATGCTGTCCCTGTAGAAAGCCTCAGTAACCAGACAGCCTCCATAGGAGCAGACAGTAGCTCAGACAGTGCGAATGTCATTGGATCTGGAGTGCCAGGGAATCCTGGGATTTCTGCAGTCACTGGAGTTGAGGGTGCCCATGTGACATCAGAAGGGAACTCTGTTAATAAGGAGCACAGTGGTGGCCATGGGGAAGAAGATAATGCAATTAAGTCATCACAGACAGGGGGTGCAGCAAACCAACAGGAGGACCAGCCACGAACAATAGGAAGAGATGGTTCTCCAACTGGCAATGCCTTAGATGGGAGTGCTGCTGGTGTTGTTGGTCTGGCCAGACCGGCTGTCACTAGAGGGGATACAGGGACCCGTGCCAACAGCAGCCAGAACAGACCATCTGTCACTGGGGCTGTTGGTAATGATGTTGACGAGGACATGACTGTAGGTAGTGGTGAGGCAGAGGAAACAGACAGCAATAACAAAAATGGCAGTTTTCCAGCTGACCATCATTCCAGCACCAGACCAACAAGTCCTAACTCTACACCTGGTGTTGGGAATGGACATTCTGAAGACAGGGTTATTCTTGACACAGATAACATTGTACCTGGTTTAACTGCTGCAGAAGGGGCCACAGCCAACCAAACCTCCCATACCGGTGACTTCACTGAAGCAATGGTGGGAGCTGAAGGTAAAGCTATAACTACTGATGGTTTTCTAGATGTTGATGATAGCAGTGCTGACACATGGGGAAATGCTGCACCAGGAAGTGATACCAGTACTAGACCAGATGAATCAAGCCAGCCTGGTCTTCACCATAGTGACAGACATGGTGGTCATGGACACCACAGCAGACACAGGGGGCACCAAGGTGATAGGCATGGTGGATCAGCTAGCAACAATGTGTCTGTTACAGGGCATCCTGCCGAACCTGTCAGTGTAGGTTCTGTTACAGATGGAGCAAAACTAAACAAAACTGTATCAGGTCCATCAGCAACCCCCTCCTCTCCAGCCAGCAGTGGTTTTGGTGGCCGCACACGACATGAAGGATCTCTGGGCGGGTCTGCTGCAGACAACGTCAATAGAGAGGGCTTCTCTGGTCGAGGCGGTGTTCCCAGCAGTGGAAATGCCCTGGGAGGAAGAGATGCTGGTGTTGCTCAGACTGCAGGTCTATCTAATACTGAAGAGGCTGGCAGGAACTACAGCTATGGTACAGACAACAGCATTGCCTTTGTAGGTGCTGCTGGAGACCTGTTAGATCAAGAAGGACGGCCACTCCAGGATAATGAAGTTCCCCCCGTGAGTGGCAGTGCCAGTTCTGACACTGATACAGCTCAGGCTGGGCACCAGGCTCCCCATGGAGACAGACATGCAGGGGAAGGACAAGTGCCAGAGGACAGTGCTGTTAGCAGGGATGGAACTAGTGGTGTGGCCTCAGTGGACTTCAATATTGACATCTACGAGCCAAATGGTAATGGTAGTGATGACAAGTCCTTTTACCTGTACTTCTACTTGGTCCTGAGTGTTTCACATTGTGCCACAACTACATGTACCTTGCACTACATACTGCATACTTGCCTCAATGTTCAGGGCTGGTTTGAAGTATTAAACACTGATGTTGGGTACTAATTTTCAGTTTTTCTTCTACTACAGTGCCTGCCCTGCCAGGATCTCCAACCAATGTCCGTGCCAGGCCCACTGACATGGCTACTGTGCTTGTGGAGTGGGGGCAGCCCACGACTGCAGTCCGTCTGGATGGCTACAGGATATATTACCAGGTCTGGAGACTACTTTGTCCTATACAGTATATAATGACATGCACAAAGACGATGTTGTACCAATGAATGTGAAACACCTGTGTATGCATTCATGGAAATGTAAGGCACTTATGGCACGTGTCCTGGTAAATGTATACTCACTGTATAAATGTAAACTTACTGTTTCATAACTTGCCGTTGATTCTGTCACATGTGGACTATTCTCTGATTATTAACTATACAAAAATACACAAGCTTCACTATATTGAACAATGAAAGCCTAATACTTGAATATTGATACAGTCTGATTCTTTCACTTCAGGCAAGTAACAATCCCCAGGTGGCATCCATTGATGTTGGTCCCCAGACTCTGTCTCAGTCAGTTGGAGGTTTAGAATCAGGCACAGAGTATACCTTCTGGGTGCAGGCTGTCAATGCTGCAGGCCTGGGCTACAGGAGTTCCGTGGTCACAGCCATTACTGACGAACCAGGTAACTCAATTATGAAGCAACTGACTTGGTTGTGATTGGAACAAGTTTACCTTTGTTACTGTCATGTAATTCTGAAGAGAAGTATACAGCATACATGTAGTTGCTAGCTTTACATGTACTGTTAGAGTTTATGCCACAATGAATGGATAATGGTAATAGGACTCAATCAAAGTGTTATTCTAATGTTCAGGTCTATGAATGATTTCCCCTCCTATGTCATGGAATATTTTCTGACGTCCCTGTCTGTACTACCAGCTCCATCCTTACCAGGAGTGCCACAGAATGTCCGAGCCACAGCCGTGAGTCCTACGACCATACTGGTGGAGTGGGAGGCACCACATCTTGGAGGGGTTGTGCAGGGTTACATGGTTTATCATCAGGTACCTTACCTCTCCATGCAGTTGATAAACTCAGGCCTGTTGATAAACTCTTTCTCTGATAAAGTGGATGGAAGACCTACAAAATGGAGGCTCACTTAATAATGAGAACCAGAACCAATAGCGGAAAAAGAGTGGTATGGTCATTCAAAGTCTAGAATTTTTGATGCCATGTTGTAAGCAGATTATTTCACCAGATGTTGACCACTACTAACTCGGCTCAGTCAACTCGGCCCATTTCCCTGGTCAACTTGACTCAACACCCCGTGGTCAACTCGGGCGGTTGACCAGGGCGGTGGGCCGAGCTGACCAGATTTGTGATGGGCCAAGTTGGTAATGGTCCAAGTCGTCCTTTTCCACCTAATGGTACTGTTTATTACATTATTGAATTAGATTCTTATATTTTGTCAACACTTTAAGTAGATTGTTATATTTTGTCAACGCTTCAAGGTGCATTATATGTTAAGTAATTGATTTTCATTCAATTGATACATGTAAAATCTCACAAGGTCTTCCATAACCTGTCCCATTACAGCCCAGGGGAGGAAGGACCACATTGAGAGAAGTTGGTCCAAGTGTGAACTCTCTGATCCTGTCAGACCTGCGGCCTGAGACCAGGTACTCTATCTGGGTCGTGGCTCACTCAGATGCAGGGATGGGTCTGAGAAGCAGCATGAAGACTCTGCAGACACCAGCAGAAGGTTAGTCGTGTTTCATTCCAAAATTAATGTATAACACATATGGTAAATATGGTACAATCAACCATCTTATTGTCTGTTCTAAACATTGTATCTTACTATTAAAACCCTTGTCCTGCAGTTGTTCTGCACATACAGTACCATTTATATAGCACCCTGTATAGGTACAATTTGGGGGTATTTCTCGTGCAATGAATCACACCGCAGCGAAATGCAACAAATGCAGAAGTAACTATGCCACTGCAGGGCAAAAAAATTTGGGGGCCTATGATCTAATTAAGACATGAAATTATTGAAAAATATTGTGCCAGGAATGTCAGCAGGACAAGGGTTAACCATCTTAGTCTCTGTTCTACACAATGTACACATTGTGCTTACTATTAACCATCTTAGTCTCTGTTCACATTGTATCTATCTGTACTTATTTGTCTCCAGGCCCCAGGCTTCCTGGACGCCCAATGAATGTCCTGGCAACAGCAGTGGATGCCAGAAGTATTCTGGTGGAGTGGCAACAACCAACATTTGGTGGACCACTGGACCAGTATAGGATTTACTATGAGGTTAGCAGAAAACAAAGCAAACAAAAAACTTACTAAATGTTCTTCAAAATAAATTATGTAACTTCTTATATGGTCTTAGTACCAGCTATGTACAAGTAGAAACAAGTCTTGTTTTGTTTTTGCTAGAAGTCCACAGACCAGACAACGTCCATGGTGGAAGTTGGGCCAGGAACTGTGTCCTACACACTGATGGACCTGCAGCCTGACACAGAGTACAGTGTTTGGGTGGTCGGCATCTCCAATGTAGGAATGGGAGAAAGAAGCCCCATCATCACTGTTCGCACAATGGAAGAGGGTACTTATAATGTCTTGACAAGACAACCATTGCAGTAACTGTGTGCTTTTCTTTGTAATGAAGGGTGTCTTGGGAATTCTGGAGTACTGTATGCCAACACGACTCATTTGCATTTTTGTTATACACCACTTTGACATTTTTGGGTGATTTTTGGACAAAAAATGTGTTGTGTTCTTTAGCTAACTTCCAAAGTATGAAAAGATTGATTTTCAACAGTCTACCATGTATATTGAATTGCGAGGGAGAGTGAAAAGGTTGATTTGGAAAAGTCTATTTTTGATTGGGAGGGAGAGTGAAAAGGTTAATGTAGAACAGTCTATTTTTGAATTGAGAGTGAGAACAATATGAAAGCTTTTGCATTGGAGATCCTCAGGCTTAGAGGAACTTGGAATTATCATCATTGGAAAACTCTGTTGTTGCATGGAGGAATAAAATTTTTACATTTTCCATTTTGGAGTGAGGTAATGTTTCCATTTTTCCAAGTATGGGCAGTAGTAACTTTGAGTTGGTCCTTTCTGCAAAATGTAGATGTGAAAAATTCCATTTTGTAGTGGGGTGATGTTTGGGCATTATTGGGCGATTAAGTTCTGCAAAGGATGATTTTCATGGGGAGGGAGTAAAATATATGCAATCTATTTTTTCTCACAAAATAGGTGTTTCTAGTTTTTTGATAACTGTTTTTGAAGTTGATCAGTTCTGAGCACCATGTACACTTGTCTCCTCAGCACCAAGACTACCTGATACACTGAGTAATGTCCAAGTCAGCCCAGCAGGGCCGACCAGCATCACTGTGGAGTGGGAGGCTCCATCTGAAGCTGATGTACAGAGCTATGAGATCTACTATCAGGTATCCATCTGTCATCTCAGCTTGAGAAGCACTAAAAAATAAATGCAACATGACTTTGATTGTGATATTCAGTGGTATACTGGGGACCCTGTATACTAGTAAGATTTTATCCTTGATGTGAAATGATGCACTAGATATCCCTTCATGTATACCAAAGACCAAAAGACATGGGTGACTTTTAAACCCACAGTCATCAACATCTGAAGGTCAAAGTTGGCCATGCACAAATTATCTGGTCCTGATTTCCCCAGACGGACAATCTGCCTGCAACGTCTGTGGAGCTGGGCCCTGCTGACAGGTACTACACCATCTCAGACCTGCTGCCTGACACAGAGTACACAGTGTGGGTGGTGGCCTTGACTTTCACAGGAAGGAGAGTCAGCAGTCAGACATTCACCATTCAAACTGAACCGCAAGGTAAACCTGGTGTAATGTAACTGTTGTCATACTGCAAGTAGCATACTGGTCCTGAAATAATCCATGCGCGTATGAAATCGCGTATGAAACGCCGATTTCAGGACCCGAATGGTAGCTACATACTCTGTGGCATACAAAAAAGTAGCAATCTTGAGAAGCATTTTTCTTTGATACGGCTTGGCATGAAAATCAACTGTTCACTATTTGAATGATTCTGACACAGTGTTCTGCTCACACACTATGTTAGGAGAAACCACACTCATCTTTAGCTAGTTAGGGACAAATAAATTCCAAGGGTCTCACATTGCCTTTTTTTTACCCCAGCCCTGCCAGGAGTTCCCAACAATGTGCGTGCCTTCCCAACGGGTCCAACCTCCGTTGTTGTTCAGTGGCAGCCACCAAGCACAGGACGAGATGTACAAGGGTACCGTATCTTCTATCAGGTCAGACATGCATCAAGTCTTGGTTATTGCAAAATATACAGTCATTATTGTATCTGCTGTAACACTATATCAGCTAACAGGACTAAAATTATATAGTTTTTTCTTCATATCTGCACTAGTGATAATAATACATGTATACAGTATGTTGAAGATGGTTTTTCCTTCAAAATCAGCATTACCTGGTTAATTGGATTCCTATTTGCCTCTCTGAGACCACATAGTATCATTTTCTTCATCCAAAATGATCCTCAAAAGTATGGACACTCACCTTCACATGTTGTTGTCTTTAGGCAGAACATGGCCATGTGTCATCAACTGAGGTGGGCCCAGATACAGCCTTCTACACACTGACTGACCTGCTGCCTAACACAGAGTACTCTGTGTGGGTCCTGGCCTTCTCAGCTGCAGGGGCAGGAGAGAAGAGTGTGGTGCTGTCAGTCCGTACGGAAGAAGAAGGTAGTAAAATGTCATCTGTCACTACTATAGATCCTTCTTTTTTATTTTACTGCTTTCTAACCAGTAACTGTGCTGTCTAACCATTTGTATGTTTATCTAACAAAACTAGTCAAGCTTGTATTCACATCAACAATCTTTTCACTTAATTTACTTAAGCTCCAAAAGTGCCTGGTGCCCCCGGCAGTGTCCGTTTGACTCCAAGTGGCCCCACCTCCATCACAGTGGAGTGGGAGGCTCCCACAACAGGTGCAGATGTGGAGGGATACAATGTGTACTACCAGGTAAAATTACCTAATCATGATAGGGAATTTAAGTCACTCTTTAATATCAGAGCTTATGATATGAATTTGGAGCATATTCTAACATATAATACAAGTGAGATAATTGTGATTAATAGTTATATTATCTATTTTATCAATAGCTAGAGATGCTGGTAATTGTTTCCTCCATTCAGTGTGCACAGAGAGATGATTTATTTATTAATCTTGAGGGTCGCCCCTTCAGTTGATAAACAACTGATTTCCAAGGGGGCCCTGGCTCCACATCCAACAGATGAATCAACAAAACATTACAATTGTACAACATAAAACACAAAATCGAACATAGGAGTAATACTTAATCTTAACAATTCAAAATATGTTGAGCAATATGATGAAGTACTTTATTCCCCACCATGTACATGTAGCCTGAGGATGGCAGGACCAGGACAGCTCAGGTGGAGCCCAGTGACATGCCCAGCTACACCATCACAGGCCTGACACCAAACACACTCTACAGTGTGTGGGTCATCGCCTTCTCCACTGACGGCTTGGGTCAGAGGAGCCAGCTGGTCAAGGTGCTGACAGAGGAACAAGGTACAGCTTTTTTATTTCTCAAGGAATGTCAAGATGAGATAGAAATGTCTTGCAATACTTTGCAGATGTACTGACTTCCATGTATTAATGAGTATTATCAAAATGACAACAAAATGACTTGCTTTGTTTTCTGTGCAGCTCCCCAAACTCCAGGTGTGCCTAGGAATGTTGAAGCTTCTTCAACTGGTCCGACTACCATAGTGGTCCAGTGGACCAGCCCTGATACTGGGGCTGATGTGCAGGGATACA